TTTTTTTTTTTTTTCGTTTGTATCCTTTTTTTTTTTTGTGATGAATAAATTACAATGCAGAACTACGTGAAAATAAAAAATAAGAGCTATATTTGAAACATTATTCTATTATTCTATTGCTAAATTGTTTTGATAATATGCCAAACAAATTGTTCTCGCCTTTTCGTCTAAACCGAGATGTTGAACGTTTTCCCAAACATCATTATAGTTATCAGGGCTCATGGTATCATACCATTTGTCACCATTTCCGAAATATAAATATTCAATAATTGGTTCAAAGGTTTCAGGGGATGGTACAATGATCTTCACTAGATCCCCTTCTTTTACATTAGCAAGTGTATCTCGGAAAAATGTTGATTGAGAAGTAAGATATTCTAAATGTACGAAGAATGATCTATCAAGACCTTCTACCTTCAATTCGAATGCGTGAGACTTATTGTTGAAATAATTTGATCCTTCTTCATGTAATAAAGAAACAAAATAAGGAGCAGGGATTTCTTGAATAACAGACATTTTTAAGGAGTTTTAATAATTTAAGAAAAAAATAAATCAAAAGTTTGTAATTTGATCTAAAATATTGATTGACTTTTAATAGAATTATTGAATTGTTTTTTTTTTTTATTTTATTATCGATTGAAATTTTTTTGTTGCAAGAAAACCTTCGTCGCGTTCAGGCATATTTATACACACCGAAACTATAGCAAGCCGCTCATTTCTAATATTGGATGCCGAGACAGTTCGAAAAGTATTATTACCATTTATACGTTCATTCATTAATTAGTAAAAAGATTATCATCATTACCTAAATTCTATGATTACTGCGCTTTGTCGATCATGTGATACGAAATTCCGCGGATTTTTTGAAGTTTTTTTTTGATAACAATAGTACTACCATGACCCTTTAAATTCTATTGTTCAATGATGATCATAATTCTAAAAAAAAATTTAGATTGTTCACAAAAAAAAAAAAATTTGAAACTTTAAAATTCTAAAACCTAAATGAAATCCAAACCCATTATTTTAAAATATTTGAATTTCTGGATGTATATTTTTAAGTAAACAATTTTCGGTAATTCAAAATGATTGGATATCGATCATATTGGTATACTTTGAATTTTTTTTTTTTTTCCTTTGTGTTTCATTGTTTCATTTATTTCAAAATACTTGTACTATAACGAAGTTTCACATCATCCTATTATATTCCAAAAAAAGTTTAAACTTAAATAACTTCGTTAAAATTGTATCAACGAACGTTTCAAAATTTTATTAAACAGGGGATATTCGGAATATTAAAAATCTCCACGTTTTTAATTTTAAAAATATCTCTAAATTAGATAAAACAATAGTTAAGCAAAAGTCCGGATAAATTTTTAATATTAATATTAAACATTTTAAAACACAATAAAATAGGTTTTTTTTTTTTTCTACCTTAATTAGTAACAATCTCAATATTTTATTACAAAGAATTTTTTTTTCTTATTTTTCTTTTTGGATATAATATTAATGTCTTACCATGGGGTAAAGAGATCAACTATTTTTGGAAAATATAAACTATATTTAAGTGAAACTATAAAATCTTTCTCCTCAATAATATTGAAGCATTGCACAAGTTACCCCGAGGTACTACCATCAATCATTAATAATATTAAAAGGATGGATTTATTCTCGTTTAAAATTTGGAATTTTTCCGCTTCTTTCGTAAAAATTATTAGTTGTGATTTTGAAATATTTGATAAATATTTGCGTAATTATAGCGTTAAAGAAACAATTTTGTTGATAACTATTAATATTTTGATTAAAAATTTATTCTATCGTTTAGGATTTTTTTTTTTTTTTTTTTTTTTTTTTTTTNTGTTGTTTATGACCAAATTGAAGCAACCACCTACAGTATTTCATTTGGATCGGAAGAATAAACGATATTTCGAAGAATCGGTTATTAAAATGATACATCACTTTACCGCATATAACTTTGATGTGATGTACTAAAACCATATAAATAATAATTGTAATAATAAAACTTTAATAACGTTAATCTTATTATAAAAAAAAAATGCTACACATGATGATCTATACGGTATGAGCTGTACTCATTTTCAGGGCCGGAATTACGATAATGCATGTTGCATAGTTGCTATAAATTCCTTGCTGATACTATTATAAAATAGAGATCTACACGAATTAACGTCCTGCCTTACGTATTTATATTTTTTTTTTTATTTTTCTTAGCGTTAGAAAAAGAAAAAAAAAAATTAGTGCAATTAGTGCTTTGATAATTGTTATCAAATTTACTAATAAATAAATTCGTGGTTTATTTTTTTAATTAATTAAATTACAGCTATTTTCATTATTTACAATAATTACAAACGTTACGCCTATCACAACTGATTGAAAAATCATCACCATATTTACAGTTACGACAAAAATAACAATTTTTAAGACAAAAGGTTGCAATTTTTCAGCTTCATTAACCTTATTACGACATGTAAACCTAATTGAAGTTTCTGTTGACCATTTAATAGAAATTAATTGACTAATTTGATCGATAGTAGAAGTATAACTTTCTTCAATGTCAATATTTGAATACTTTCGCTCAATTTCAGCATTTTGAAAGGAATTATAAGTTACGATTAATTGCTTCCCTTTACTATGAATCCAATCATCAAATAAGTTAACAAGATATCCAGCAGTTGGCCTTTCCTTCGGGTCAGAATCCCAACAAGATTTCATAAGTTCGGTATAAATAAAAGGAGTAGCAGAAGGAAGTTCAGGTCGAGATCCTTTAATAATATTAATAGGGCTGATATCCTCGTGGTAAAATGGGATTTTTCCACTTGCAACTTCATACATAATCATTGCAAAACTATATATATCAGACGCCGAAGAATACTGACTTCCAGATAGAATTTCTGGAGCTATATAAGGTAATACACCAAATAGTTCACCTGTTGATACAGAATCTTGATGCCATGTAAGCCCAAGATCGCTTATCATTGTCCAACTTCCATGTCTTAAAATATTACCTGTATGTAAATCACGATGAACGTACCCAGAGTTATGAATAATTTCCAGACCCTCAGCAATGTCTTTAAGTGTAATTAAACGTTCAATCCATGAAAAATTTAAAAAATTTTTACGAATGTATTGTCGTAAATTCCCATCTTTAGCATACGATGTTACAACAATAAAGTCGCCTGTATCCTTCCAACGTGAAATTCCAAAACAACGAAGTACATGTCCAATCATTGTATTAAATTTGTGATGAGCTGAAAGCTATAATTATAATAAAATTGTAAAAAAAAAAATATTTTATTTAACTGAGAGTAAACAATAAATCCCATATTTACCTCATTAATAAATTCGCTTAAATTTTTTTGAGATCCTTTTATTACTTTCAATACTACTTCATGACTACCAAAACGTTCCCAGTTATTAATATTTGTATCCCAATAAATAATTGGACCTTGTTTCCATATAGCTTTATAAACAATACTATATCCACCTTTTGCTAAATATGTAATATGATCAAAATTTACAAAAGGAATCCATTCAAAAAAGCTATGAACATTATTTGCAGTAATTTGTGTTTTGATGATTAAATTATCTAGACCAGGTCTCCAACTTGTCCATTCCGAAGTTTGTTCATGAAAATGAGCAGCATTACAAGAACGACACCATTTCTTTCCAGTAAATAACTTTCGACATTCCATACACCACCCTAATGAAAGTTTTAGTGATTGTAGATATAATTCATCATTCATCTCTCGCTCATCCCAAGGTTTCATTTCTTGATAAGTCTGATAACTTCTATGACGATCATTACGGTCAACCTGCCAGCTCGTTGATAATATACAAGGAAGTGATAGTGTTGATAATAATTGTGATGATGGCTGTAGTAGTGGTGAATATTGTGAATATTGTGGATATTGATATAATGGATATGATGGCGAATATTGTGCTGGTTCTGGATTATTACTTAATATTGATGATGACCATAAAATTGATGGTGATGATGGTGATGATGGTGATGATGGTGATGATAATGATGACGACGACGAAGAAGATAGTGAAGATAGTGATGGTGATGCTAGTTCTGGTAATGTCTCAACTATATCATTAACTGGTTTAGATTTATTTCTTTTTATAATATTTCTACATTTGGTAATAAAAAAGCTTATTTTTTCTGCTATCTTTTTCTTGGCCGACCGAGGTTTATACCCTGAATTCATTTTATCGCTACTGCTTTATGCATAAGAAAATTTATTAAGAAACCGAATTAACGGAATATATATAGGATAAACAAAAATCCAATAACAAATAGCAGATCACTAAAAATGAAATAGTTAGTACAAAGTTTTTCGTGTGATCGGAGTGATCAACTCCGTATTTTTTCTTGTATGGAAAACTCGAGTATCACCAAATTCTTTCTATTATGTCAAAAATTTATTTCGAGAAAAATAAAAAAAAACTTGTATATCCAAATAATGAAAGCAATCAATGAAACGATCTACATTTCGTGTAAAATTTTTTTTTAAAGAACCTTCCTTTTCCTTTTATGACGACGTTTTTATCAGTTATTTTTATTTTACAAAATATTGTGTAATAAAAGATTTAAATGGAAAGTACTTTTTCTAAAAGAATTGTGGATATTCTTTTTTTTTTAAAAAAAAAAAGAATAAAAGTATAAATTTTTTGAAAATAAGGCACGCTGTTTAATCACACGTTACACAAATAGTAATTTATATTGTACGATAGTAATGTAGAGTTTCTGATTTCTTATTGAAAATTATTAAAAGAATATTATAATCTTTGACGTGTTTTATTAATGTGAGAAATATGAATTGGGGTATACTAGATGCATGATATCCAGTTGCGCAAAGATCATATGAATTCTTATTACGGCGAGCCCTGTATTACGTAAATTGTAAATTTGATATATTAAAACAGCACAGGCTTTTTATATCAAATCAATGAATCAAGCTTTTTAATATGAATTAGCTTAAATAATAAGCTTATAATTAACAAACAAAAATGACATTACAGCATTAAGACAAGATAAATAATTGAGGGCCTCCCCTGTAGTAAACCATTTGTTAATAGAACTCCTAAAATTTATTTTTAAAAGTGTTCATATTAGGCATAATTTATTTTACAAGTCCAGAGGATGAAAATTAAAGAAACATGTATTGTTATGATATTTCTCGAATCCAGAAGGATCTCTTCTGGTTGAGCTAATTTGTCAATTGTCATTTAACTCTCATTTTTCAAACGAATAGTACAATAAAACGACCACTTAACGAAATTGTAGATACTCCGATCATATGGTTTGCTACACGCATTTAATTAATGCCGCATGATGGCATAATAATTTGGTTTGATTATCCCTATTACAAATAGTAATATAATAGATCTATCTATAGATCTTAAGGCGCTAAAAAGAACGCAAATTGACTTTATTAAGGTTAATAAAATAATATTTTATTTCATTTTACCAATCGACTAGCAGTACTATTTTTTATTTTTTATGTAAATCAATATATTAGTATTCATGATTTTAATATTTAATTATAAAAATGAGTGAATCATATTCGTTATACTAGAATTTTATTGTTTTATCACGCTCCATATTTTAAACTTTTAATCGTATAATATACCATTTTGACTAATATTCAATTGAGTAATACTGTACTAAAAAAAACCATAAATTAATTGATATCTATAGCAGATTATGTTAAAATAACAAAATTTTTATTCCATGTGCTTATTATACTTAGCAATCTTGTTGTAAATACTGTAAATGGCTTCTAAATGTGTTTTATACAGTAATCCTAAACTAGTTGAAGGTATATTATTATTTGATAAATTGTTGTTTATCTCATATACTTTTTTTATTTGTGTCTCCAATTCTGCTATTCGATACAATCCCAATAGTTAGAAATTTTTTATTATTCAGCTGTATGAACTGCTATATGTAATTTATTTAACAAATAATAAAGAATAAACGCATTAGCGTGCTTTTTACATAACAATAATCTTTTCAAATAATGTAGGAGCGTGTATGCTATTTTATTTTAAATGCGCAGTAGAAGTAATTGCGTTCTTCTCTACTTTCTCGCATATTCTCAAAATTCTTATGTATATTATTGTTAAAAAAGGGTCTCTTGATGATCTTTACATATGGATAGCGTCAAATTCTTTTATTGTTAAATTAAGGAGAAGCCATTGTTCAGATTTTCGTGATGTGATCATTTTAACATAATTTCTCCAAAAGCGTATACCAAAATCGATCCTGTAAATTATATAAAAAGTTGATGTCCCGGTTAGTGAATCCTTTTATCCACCTTGCAAAAGTAAAGCAAAAATCAAACGAAAAATTAAAACCGACCAAACCTACCATTATTTGTTCATTGATATCAACAATCAAAAGAACAAGTATAATCCGCAAAGTTATAAAAGATAGGTTGTTTTATTGTTCGGCTAGCTTCTTGGAACATGTCATCACGATGTTAATCGATCTGCTAGCCCTATAGATGTTCCAAAACCATACGAAACCATACGGTCTACTTTTCTTGCTATATATTGGCATTTTGATCTTCGCCGAAAAAATCTATTACAAAATATTCCCTAATTTAATCTAATCAACCCAACGTGTATCATCAGCGTGATAATCTTTTCTGGCATTGAAAAACCCCCTCAATCATAGATATTATTTCATATTTAGCTATTGTAGGAACAAATTAGTTAGATATTTGCCGGAAATTTGAGAACAAAGAAATAAAATGATGCTGGGACTCGCATTAAATAGCCTAGGATCCTCCATCTTTGATAGCATCATACATTTCATTCGCTTCTCTAGCATTTCCTGATTCGCTATGAATCTAATAAAATTTGCCCACATTGGTGATGTGATGAGTGATGAGATAAAAATGTTGGCGATCTGAATTTTCCTCTATAAATACATTCAAATAATTATGATCTGTAAAAAAAAAGAAGTCTGCAACTAAAAGAATTACAGGACAAATGTAAAAAAAATTTCATCTATTGCTCAAGCATGTTTCTTCAGAATAATGTTTTACACAGTGCTCAATGAAACTTGAATGATTGTTGTAATTCTACTAATTAAATAGCCAAAGGCCCGAGATAAAAAGCTTACAAAAGTTTAATGAGAAAATTTCCATTTAAACGCAGAATGTTCACGTCTCCGGAACTGAAAATGATATGATAAAGGCCGAATGAAAAAAAATAGAAGAGCGATATAATAGAATTCCTATCCGAGTTAAGTCCATGGATAAACTTTGAGAGAATACTCGGCACGGCTGAAACAAAGGATTATATTTGGAATAACGAGCTCTGCCTCCGACAAAAGTGATTGAGCGCACAATGCACGCCTTTGGCAACTTATCATGAACCACAGCCTTATTACGGGCATAATCTGAGCATTCAGTAGTTGTACTGTCTTCTGTGAGAGGATCTTCCTTCTCATGAGGAAGGACAATCACATTTCAAAGGACACACATTTGTTCTACGAAGATAAGAAATATAAAAAGTAAGACACGAATTTATCTAGGCTTTTTAAGTTATCCACTGAGGTGTTACAGTATGGTAGATTTCAAAAACTTCAAAAACTTAAAAACTTCGAGACTTAGTTTTTTATATCACTGATCACGTTCACGGTTCTGTGTAACATAAAACACATCAAACACGTCATTTTTTTTCTGTAGCTAGTAATGTCCCCCAAAAGTGAGTTTTTTTTATCGAGGAAAAGCGCACGCCGGTAGATTTTTTTCAGAGAACTTATACAACAAAGAGTGGAGTTATTTCAGAATGGTACTCCTCGCTCAGAGCAAGCCTCCCACTTAGTACTGATCCAAAGTTAGTCGAACTGGCCATTACAAGAAAGCGATCAATGATTGACAGTCTGCTCGCGTTCTTAAGAAAGAAAAGGTTTGTCAAAAATGTTTGTGATGTATCGTATCCAAGATTTATATGCCCTAAATTTTTCACATTTTGCCAGACGTCTGATAAGGTATTAACCAAAAAACAAGCAGAGCGATCCGAACTCCTTCCGGAGGAAACAGGTCGAAGAAACCTCGTCTCAACAGAATATTTCGATATTGATGTCAGAGGGTTTCATGATTCGTGTTCGTCAACGTCTGATCCGTCTTCCAAACCTAATCTTGAAGAAGGTAATAAAGCATTTTAGTTTTGCAACATTTCTAAGAAAATTTAATATGGATCTAATTCATATATAAACATAGATATCGAGTCTGAATATTATGATTTCAGGAAACGACATAAATTCTTTATTCATGGGAAGATGCAATTCATAAAGTTGATGCCAGAGGAAATTCTAAAAAGGATGTGAGTGTACGATGTGGTCAATGCTTCGTTCATTCACCTCATTAACTAAATATATTTACGCACTTTTTCAGTAGATTTCGAAAGCTATAATCTCTCCAATGAGTTTTGGAATTTCCAACAATTAACGATTCAACAAATCAAGAAAAGCCATATTTATGTTATAAAAAGGACATTAAATATCTGTAAGTATTGAAATCTGTCTGAATAATGGATTTCTGTAACTACTTCTTATTATATTCATTATTATCGTAATAAATAGATGCCTATAAAATATAATGCTGATTGAACAGACAAAACCAATATATTTTACCTGCGATCAAGCGATTTTGAATACAATTTGTCGACGACAAGCACCTTCGAGTTTCTCATCAGTAGTTAATAATGTAATTTATAATATTTTATGGTAAGATTTAATTTCTCATTCACAAATCTGATATTGAATGAATATTACTAGTTAGGCAACTCCTTTCATTCTAGTTGTTAAATTTATTCAAACCACTAGACGAAATTGAAGATAGATGGTGTGCAAAATTTTCCGAAATCACAGAGCTTCTGAATAAAGAGGATAGAACTAGTTTTTGCAAATATCAAATTAGCGAATTCTCGTAAACCATGTCGGAAGGTCGAAATTACGACGCTTCGATATCTTATAGTGTCGAAGAAGAACATAGAGGTGGTGAATTTTCAACCACCGGCATGATTAGAGGAGCAATACAAGAAGCGGATATATTTGTAATTAACTCGATAATAATATGTTTTACAGTTTTCTACTAGACTCTATTAGTAAAAATAATGAAGATACAATTGTCCATGATGCTTTACATGATTTAATCAAAGAGATGTTTCGTGACTCAGTATTGGAATTATATGGTGAGTTTATAAGCATTGTGTGAATCTTCGAAATATCTTTTATATCCTTTGATGTTGATTTAAAAGGGAAAACAGCAAAGTTCTGCTTTGATACGAGAGATGAAATTCAAGGATTCATCATCTATGTTGGTAAAAAGATTCCATCAAACTCGCGGACTTCCAAGCGGGTACTTTGGACGAATTAATCAAGAAACATGGAAATAAGATTGGCGGTACTCCTTTCAGTATATGGATTTGTGGTAAGTGTACAAATTTGAGTTACTTTTAACGTATTTATTAATTAATATATGATTGCACTTATAGATGCGAGCATTCGTATCTATAAAATCAATTACGATGGGATATACAGGTTCTTGGTTGCAAATGTAGTTATTCCAACAGAACAAGCACAATTTATAGAAGCATTAAAGTAAGTGCCAATAGTAGTACCTGGTTTATTGGCTTTAACGCAAATCGATACCAACCATTTAACGCCTTTCTCTTTGTGACTTTAAGGCATCGTATTTCTGAGGTCTTGACAGTAATTGCTTCCAACACTCCATCACGTTCTACTTATGGTAGGATGCCCACCTCATCGCCAAAACTCATCAAGGTTACAATTACTGGTCTACAACCAAATTAGTTTTATACCAACTTAGAATAATGTCTTTCAAATTTGGTACACTCGAAATATTACTATTCTTCGAGATTAATGTATTGTATTTAAGTTACCTTATTAAAGGTTTAATTCGGAAGGGAAGCTACATCAAGTAGTTATAGGTTTCGCTCAAAATTTGATTCAATATGAAAGCGTTCTACAAGTTAATAAAAAAGAATAGGAAACGTAAATCAGGTGAAGCGTTCGGGGAAGACTTCGACTATATCTACGGAATCGTTACAACAGCCTCAGAATGGTATTTTATTCTTTTCGCCTCGGATGGAATATCGAGCACGAGCAAGGATCCCCTCAATATTCGATTTTCAGAATCTGCTTTGAAGGAAGGATCGGAGGAGGAAAAGATTTGCGTAAAAATGTGAAGCGGGTTATGGCGGTCATTGTTGGGTTGTTGAAGGATAGGTTGGAGTCTGTGGATGAAGAACCTGATAGGAAGAGGGCTAGGATAGAGGAAAAAATAAGCATGCATAATTATAGTTCGCAAAAATAACATAGAAACGTCATGTACTACTGGCTAGCTACCGACGCTTGTAATTTATTTATTTTTTTTTTGCGTGATGTATCACGCTATTATTAATAAAACAAACACTCCTTCAGAATATACATTTTTGGCAATCAATATTTTTGCATGGTAAGGATTTAATGTTTTCAGAGAGGATCGCGAAGATGATCGTGTGATTACGGATATTTATATATATTAGGCGCACGAATCAAATCGGTTTAAAGTGTGGTTTAAATGTGGTTGAAGTATTTTTAGTGATTGTTGCAAGGTACACTACATGTATGATGAAAAAAATAGTAAATTTCGATCACCCACAGATGTATGGTTAATGTAGGGTTGAAACTCGGGTATAAAAACACCTCATATTACACTTATTCGCTTGTTTATGGTTAAATCACTTCCGGGAAAAAAATGGTTCACTGGACTGATGTCAACAAGCATAAAAATAGGAACGAAGAATTTTAAAAGAATCGAGACGTATTTTGGGAAGTATCGCAACTAAAATTAATGAAGAACATGATACAAATTTCCAGGGGCACCATTGTATAGAAAAGTTCAGAAATCTTATTCGGATTCTGTTCCATAATATCAATAAAATTGCATGATAACTATTGGGAAGCATATTGGTAGCAATAAAATTTATTTATTAAATAAAAAAACATAAAATATACACAGTAACGAAAGGATGAAAATCGCATATTAGGTAATTTAATGATTATCGCAAGAAAATTATGTCATCAACAATAGGTTCTGATATATAAAGCATTAAAGGGGATAATTCTTTAAAAGTTAAATGAAACTGGGAACAGGAATATATAGATTGAGAAAAAGAGGATGGATATTCAGGACAAGGCTTACTCCAAATTCTTATGGCACTAAGGCTGCTCCAATTGATTGTTTGTTTAACGTCTATAATTTATAAAGAGTTTGAGGGGGGAGGAGGGTCTACAATAAACAAACAAATAATAGGATCCAGATTTTTGAAAAAATAGAGGGGGGAGGGGTATGTTAAACAAATAATTAAATTTGAGTGGCCTAATGGCCTTCTCTAACGGATTCATGAAACATTCTAAGTCTTCGAGAAAAGAAAGTCGCTTCAACTCTTTCAATGCCTCTTCTTCAGTTTGATACCTCCATACATGAAATTCATCATTACTTGTCCATTTAAATTTCATTAAAAGTACAAATTCACCAAGTGATTTATTCACTTTATCTAAGATTTTTTTTCAAAGTTTTAATGTATTCTCTCGAATCTGGGCTGAAGTGATCGATGTCTATCTCTTCATCTTTGATCTTTTCATGATCATATTTTATCATAATGGAGAACTCATAAGATATGATATCCCATGCAGACGCACCATTTATATCCTCAAGTTTTTTATCCAATTTACAGTACGGACTATATCTTGTATTAAGCTTAGTCACCCAATCCCTATAGCGAAAATTTTCTTTAGTGACGGTTAAATCTTTTATAATTCTGAGTAAATCTTTTATATCTTCGCGTGTATTGTCACTTATATCTTATAATTTCAAAGTATCTCTATTATGAGAAAAAGCACATCTTGTTATATCATTTTGGTTCCTCACCAATCCCATTATCTCTTGTGTGTTTTCTGTCAGTTTTTAATGTTTTGGTCACACCACAACTCATTACAAATGTGTTCTTGTTTCCGAACCTTCTTATCCAGCGCTTCTTTATTTAATGTATTTTGTTGTTCCGCACCTTTTATTTTATTTTTGACACTATTAATTTTATAAATAACCATGTTAATGTGTTTGAAAAAAAAGTTCTTAGTAAGAAACAAGCTATAAAGAGGGTATATATCATACATCTTAAACTTTTGTGATGTAATACAATCATATAGCAGAAATAATGATTCAATTGATTCATGCCTCCGACTGATGGTATTTATATAATTTTCCTGTCGCACACAAAGCGCCACATTTAATTTCAGCCAAAATGCGTAATGCTGGTCATTTCGTGACGTTTACGCTAGGGGGTAGTCCTTTGTGTGATGTATTATTTTCTCTGAGCCTAAACGTTATGGCTCGTTAAAAGAAACCGACATAAAGAAGCGTTGACGAAAAATTATTGAAGCCTGGATGAGATAGTACGCAATTAATGTATGAATGTTTCGGCTGTGGCCATGCATTTTCAAGAAAACGATTTCAGAGCTTGATTTTTTCTTATAGATTTCTATTACTGTAGCATCAAACAAATAAATTCTCGGCGAGACTTTACTAAGGTTAATTCTATGAGCTGTTGACTTATTTTCTGACACTTCATATCTCGTATGACTGATGTTCGTTTTATTTTAACCAGAATATCGATTATTGGACCATGGAGTGGAATAATGTGTAGCGTAGGCAAGCGAAAAATTTGTGTGGCCGCAGATATTAGTATAGAAACACCATTTCACATCGTAAACAAGTTTATGTATAACCAAATCTTGCAATTTATTTTTTTTACATCAATAAATCAGTAATCGTGACATTTTGTCACGGGTTTTATCTATGCTAACGAACTTTTGAATTATTCCATCTTATATAAAAAATTATTATCGAACAGCATTCCATTGATTCATTGAGAGAATTAAATGCCAAGCTCTTAGCTGAGATTGCAGAGCTAGGAAGGAAAATGCTGAAATTAGGGTCAAAAATGATGAGCTTAAGGATAATGCCGAGGTCCCTAATCTTAGAAGGAAGTTAGCTGAGTTTGACAGAGAAAGTTAAGCTTAAGGCCAGGATTAACGAGCTTCTAAGACAGGCTGTGGAAGAAAGTAAGAGACGTGATGTTGAGAATGCCGAACTCAAGGCCAGAATCGAGGAGTTGGAGCAGGTTCTTCAGCCGAGAATGTTAGGCATGATGATGAAATTGCTGAGCTGAAGGTCGAACTAGTGAACTAAGGGATGGTGATGATGAAAGCAAACAGCCAACTCAGGATATTTCTCACGAAGTAATTGTCAATGTACCTAGCAACCATTACAGATCAGTGTAATAGGGGATCCCAAAGTAACCAGGCCATTTTTCCTCTATCTTGTGTGAGTGATCGAAGTCATTGGAGGACAGAAAAATGGATACTTTCCTGGATGATGCACATAAGAAAAGTGTTAATAATGGGATAGGGCAACGTAATAGGGAGAAGTATCTTAGCAAAGCAGAGCAAGCATCTCTTAACCAAGATCAAGAATCCGATAGCAGGTGCTCTACTTCTGAAAATCCTGTGACTTAAACTTCAGGGGGCCCCTGCCAAAATAGCCATAGGAAGAAAGGTGCAGAAAGTATCGTACTAGCTGATGGTATTAAGGATGATGCCCAATCGAGTGATTGCTATAAATATAATTTCACCGCGCTCTTGAAACTGCTGAATTATCTGAAGAATTAAGCGTTAAAATTATTCTTTTAAAAAGTTTGTTCACATTTTGTATCGTATTTGCACAAATGACAAGCACGATAACGTATTTTTCGTATTACGTAAAGATTTTAATTAAAAATTCGTTATTCAACTTCTCCCTCTCTCTCTTACTCTTTTTTTTTCTCTCTTTATCACTTTCATCTTTTACTTTTCTTTCTCACTCTTTTTCCTCTCCCCCTTCTCCTCCTTCATCACTTCCCCTTCCCTCTCATTTTTTCCCTTTTCCTCTCTCAGCTCCTTTCTTTCCTCTCTTGCTCTTTCTCCCTTCATTTATATATATACAGTATTTTATTGTATTCCATTTTCTTCCCTACACTTATCTTCTTTTCTTACTTTCGTTGGAGCAGTATGATGCTATGCATGGGTGGGAGTATAATATACTCCTGTGAATACCAGATTAGCAGCAGTATTACAGTAGGCTGGTTGGTGCGGTATAGTACTATGCGAGGGTTAGAGTATAGACGCTATGCAGTCCTGCGATAAGACCAGGTTGGTGTGAAACGACATAGTGCTATGCATAATAATAGTTTTTTACAGGGTGAACTATAATGCACTTCTTAGGAAGTTCCTTGCAGTAGGGCCGGTATTATTTTAGAGTAGCAAAATTTCAAAATGTAATTAAGAGATAATTTTCTGCTTTTTGTATAATCAACTATCTTTAAAATATTTTCTGTATTTCTGATTGAACTTGTTTCTCGTATCCTTTTATCATTTAACAGTTTCGCCGACAAATAAGTTCCGTTGAAGTCGACAGGGATGTGGCGTAGTAACACGTGATAGGACCAGAAATATGTCAGGTGGAAGATTTTCATGAATTTTTTAGACCATATTTCTGGGTCCTCACGTGATTAATCTATGTGTGAACCGAGTTCACAGTTGCTTTTTAACTATTAGGTGCTTCATTCGCCTTTCATTATATATCATTCCAGTAATTATTTCTAGGAATAGAGTTATAATTATTATTACGGTTTCCTAATGATATTTTTTTGTGGTCTAGGAACGGTTTAGCATATTCTATAAGTGTGTCCTATCATCATGTTAGATATTTTTCTTATTACTTCAAAATATCATTGGCACGGTAGTTCAGTAAAGTATACATTTTATACTATATAGTTTATATTTTTTTTTTCGGAATACATTGTAACTAGAATGTGTGAATAGTTTCATTAGTTAAACTCGCATCTTCGGCAACTATACATCAACGACATGTAGATTTACAAAAATATGATGATAGTTCTCAATATATCAATGGATACTTTATCTGCAAAAAATCTATATATTTTTGTTTATACAGAAAAAAACTGTTCGTGTAAAGCTTGTAAAACAAAAATTACAAATAAGAAAGAAATAAAAAAATTTTTGGTTACGTTAATAAATTAATTGCAAATTTTTTGGTAATGAACATCGAAGATACTGTTTCTACAATAAACCCCCCGAGATATTTAAAAAAGCATTAAAATAACTTTTTCCTTTTAAAAAAAATAAACGTTTGACCAGACATACAATAGGTTAATTTATAATATTTATAATTATTTCTCCTGAACATCACGTCAGGTTAAACTAGGGTAACTCTTGCTTTACATATTCAAAACTTTACTTTAATATATTCATCTCTAATCAATAAATCTTTCATCTCATGAGAATAAAGTTGACATTCTCGTTCTACATCTTTCCATTTTTTTTCAATTGAGTTGACAATTTTATCTTTATTATGACGTCTCTCTGTTTCATTGAACCCTCTGAGGTTTTTTATAAGATAATCGATTTTTTCAACTTGATTTTCCCAAAAAATTTCGAACGTACTGATCTCCAAAATAATTGACTCCAAACTATTCGAAAATAATTTTATTTTCTCAATCAATTCGTCGACTTCAATACTTAATTTTTTCGTAAGATCTTTAATTTTCTTATTTGTTTTGATAAGCTTTATAGAATTATAAAGATTACTACCGTTACTAATTCCAAGTAACACATCAGAAACTGCCATCACAGCACCAGCAGGAGGCGCAATAAGTCCAACTCCAATACATACTAAACCAATTGCAGAAAAGGCAATCCCACTTTTCGCCTGATTTTTTAATAGTGTTATCTCTTCTTCGATTTTAGATATGTTGTCTGAATCAATTAAACCTGGACAGTTTTTAATATCTTCAACGTATGTTGGCAAAAAATTTTGGACCGCAGTTAATTTTTCATTAATTCCAACATCTCCAAAGTTTGTATCCTTATTACTAATTATTTTTTTTAAATCTTTAATTAATCTATGATTTTCTCTAGATTTGATTAAAAGGTCATTCAATAATTCTAGAAATTCATCATCAGAATATCGTTCATCCTTAAAACAATCTACGAAAAACAAAAGATCGATTGAATAATCTAAAAGATTATCACTATATTTTATTGAAACTTCAGCGAATTCACGAAAGATTTTACGTTGTTCTTTAACTACTTGAGCAATAAAGGTCATAAATACACTATTATCAAATTTAAATTCTTCACAACATTTTTTAAAATTTCCCATAACTAATTGAGATTTTTTGCCAAAATTTATCATACTAATAGGTATATCATCTCTTCTGAAAGGATCATTATTATTAGATTCAAATCGAGTCTCATCGGAACTTGTCATTTTTTTTCTCTTTTTTTTTTCAACTTTACCGAACGAATTAGGTTTTTATGCTTTAATAAATGGTTCAATTTTCATTTTCATGTGAATCATCAAAATTTTTATTCCGATGATGACGTAAATGATACGTTTTTTGATTTGCACAAATATGTCATATTTATGTTTTTGGCGCATTCTCTATGGTACTATGCTTAAAATGGTGTAGAATTTGTCAGCTTAGTAATTTTTTGAACTTTTTGCGGCCTAATGTTGTTTAGGTTATGTTTCCACAAATTGTTTTATCTTGTTTTTTATTGGTTTTCATAAAATAATATATCAAAAAATAGATTTCTCTTAAAAAAATTTCCATAATAAACTTGATAGTGAACATAATATGGCAAAAATTGATTCGTAATTAATTAAATGTGGTCATCAATTATTTTTTTTTTTTGATTGTAAACATCGTCCAATTGCATTTTAGTTTTGTAAGGCTGATCAGCAATCCTCGAATTTAAAATTTGTTTAACCATTACTACAACTTACAATAACTGTTTCATAAAATAAAGAGCCAATGTTTTAAAATGTCGTTGTATATCCGGGTTTTCGAAGATTCAATAAAATTTAGCAATAATCTAGAAGATTATTCAACCGATATTTTATTTTTTACGAATAGTTATAAAAATGATAATTATTCTAATGAAGAATTTTTCAAGTAATTACAACCGGAAAAACTTCAACATGTAGTTGTACTACGATCGTGTGAAAATTATGGTCAAGTAGTAAATAGCTCTTGTCTTAACAGATCTAAAAGAACTAAAAAAAATATTATAGTTAAAGAAAAAGATGGTAATGTATGGTCAAAAAATCCTTGAAGATATTATAAATAATAAATCTACAAATGTTTGGAATTAAGAATAAATTAACAAAATCAACAAAAATATAAGGAAGATATTAAAAAAATGCTTAATATTTTTTATGTAGTACAATACTAGCAGTCGCCCGTTGCTTTGAATATAACTTGTACATTATTTTATAAAAACAGTAGTAGGATACACATAACTAGTAAGGTTCTTATCTAATACACAGATGTTATTATATAATTGTTTTTTATAGAAATCAATTTCTTATTTTATTATTTTATTTATTTAAATATAAATTCCCTTCCAGAAAAATAATGTACATTAAGTAAAAACATTTAATATAAAGTAAGTTTCTTTTATTTAATTATCACCAGGTGTATATACCAAAACTTATAAAAGACTCTTTTACATTTAACTCAAATGCTTTTTCTTACATCAGATACGTTAACAGAAATAAAATGTTAGAATGATTTGTTGTCTTTAATACACGCTGAAAGAATGAAAAAAAAACAATTAGAAAATAATATCACTATATAGATTATAAAGGGAAAAAAAATTAAAAAAAAAATCAGTTTTGGAAAAAGAGACAAAATAATATTAAAAAAAAAAGATCAGAAAAAAAAGAAAGAAAGAAAATATTATTAAAATGCGATTTTAAAAAATCCGGAAGACTAAAAAAATTTTTATAAAAATCTTTGAATATAAAACTGGAAAGAGAAAAAATCAACAAAAAAAAAAATTCGAATAGAAAATTAAAAAAACTGGTTTTAAAAATAAATAAAAAAAAATTTTATAAAAAATTTAAAAAACTGATTTTATAAAACCGGAAAGAGAGAGAACCAAAAAAAAAAAAAAAAAAAAAAAAAATTTTAAGCGAAAAAGCAAAAGAAAATTAAATTTAGTTTTGTTTAACAGTCCGTTCTACTGCGCCGATCGCATTATATCAAAAACTTCATTACCGTAAGACCTAACAGTGCTAGATCGGCGGATCGGCCGTCGGTTCCAAAATTTATTTTGTCCCAGGTCTTATGAAAACAGCAGTAACTGGAAATATATTAGCAATGAAATGGGCTGTCGGAAACTGATGGCCAATAACTATTATAAATATGTATAGATCAGGCGCGGAAATATCCACATTACACAATTCATAAGTATCACCAAGTTATAGACACACCATCTATAATTGACAAATTGAATTACCCCCTCCTTTCCCTTCCCTCTCTCGTTTGCTTACCCTCTTCCTCACTCTTTTCCCTTTCCCCGCTCTCGCTTTTCCTTCCCTTTCCCCTCCTGCACCTCAACGTTGGTGATCAGGTAACAACAAATTTTTGGCTAAGTCAGTGACGATTTGTTCACTTTTATTAAATAACCATAAATTAAAATAAAATTTTTATTTAATTTCTCATCTAATATGATTATTCAATTTTTAATTTTCGCAAATGTATGGTCCAAAGATTATTGATTAGTGGATTTAAATTTTATTTAATTAAGCATAGGTCATTTAAACTTTATTATATCTTTAACAATAGCTAAGACAAATAATAAATTTTAATATTTGGTTTCAATTAACCCTATAAAAAATTTTCGGGGGAAATTCCGATAAATGATCATTTCTCTAGTTTTTATTCCAAAAAAACACCGATATGTGATCAATTTTCTAAAAAATTTTTATAGGGTAAGTCGGCATCACTAGGTGACACGCGTGACGACCGTGACGTGTCAGGGTATCGATTTCACATCTGACGCACGTCATTCTCATCCTCTTAATTAGTTAGCCAATTTAGACGAATTTATACCCAATTTGAGATTCAGTTTTATAATACAGTAATATGAAAGTATAATGATCAAATAAGATAAATCTTTCGTGATCTTTAAATGAGTACAGTTATATAGAAACTTTATATGAAGTGAAAATTTTTTTTAAATAAATATGAAGGTTCCATATTGAGATTAAAAAAGAAATAAAATTTGAAATAAATGATTGCAGAATTTTATAATGATACTACTGAAAAAATTTTAAATTTGAATATCTTTTAAATTGTGGTACGGGGCGCTTAATAGGTATTATCTAAATGGTTATGGTACGATCTACTCATTAAAGTTCAGATTTATTGCAGGTACTAATGTTTTTTAATGATCATACCGTACCCACAACACTGTTTATATATATATTAATACTATCAATGTTGTAGGTACGGTACCATCCTATTTATTTAAAAAACGCACCTGCAACTTTAGTTATACAGTATAAACTTAAACAAATCGTAATATACATGTACTGTACATGTAATCTATTGTTAATTTATTTTATTTACTTGAAATTTTTTTTTTTATTTTTTTTTTTTTTATATTATAAAAGATTTAAATATTTATTAACTTAAATTTATTTATTTATTTTTTTAATCTTACATTTATTATACTATAACACTCAAAATTAAAATTATTTACAATTAATATTTATTGTATTTATCTAATATATATCAATATGCAAACATTACTATCTAGAAAATAATTATGCTTTACATGCTAAAGAATAAATCTAAGCAAAAATGAATTAGTTATACTGCACATACTAAAAAATAAATCTAAGCAAATATCAATTATTATTATTACTCATCTCCATTTCCATTTTTTTTAAAAATCAATAATATCTTCAGATAACGTGGACATAATTATATATTTATATTTTATTGTTATAATAATAATAATAGTGAAGAAAAAATTAATAAAGAAGAGAAAGGAAAAAAGTCTCAAGCAATACTCGAAAACGTAAAATAAATGATCGCAATTCAGGTGATTTCACTCATTTATTAAATTTGATTGGTGTAAATTTTAATATTTCTCACTTCGTAATTTGCATATAAATCCCCGTAAATTTTTTAAAATTTTTGATTGGCTAAACTTTTAAATATACTGTATAATAAACATGCTTAAAATATTTCGCACTAAAAGTTTATAACAATTTATTAATTTTTAATAGATCACATGATTTACTATCCAAAATACTAAATTTTTTATAGGAATGATAAAAATGAGTTACAATGATAAAAAATAGAATATGTGAATGAAAAAGGGAAAAAAGAATGAGGGTGAATGAAAAAATAGGGAGAGTAAGGGAATGAAAGAAACGAAGGAGAGTGAAGGAGGAACGAAATGGAGTAAAGGGAGTGAAGAAACGAAAGGAACGAACAAGATCAAGTGGGAATGGAATAAAAATGAAAGGAATGAAGGGTAGTGTAAAGGAATGAAAAAGACGAAATGGGAACGAAAAAAAAAGAAAGGAACGGAAAAAACAAAATGGAAACAAAAAAAAAAGTGGAAACGATAAAAAATGAAAGGAACGAAAAGGAAATAAAAACAAAGGAAAAAACGAAGGAAGGGAAGAATAAAAAAAGCAAAAGAAATGAAGGGACAAAAAGAGAGCAAAAAAATGGAGAAGGGACGAAAATGAGATAAACCGGGGACCAAGTAAAAACCAAACCCATAAAATAAAAGAAGAAATAAAGTTAGTAGGGAACAGAAATTACATGTAATAAATAAACGAAAACAAAAAATAAAAACATACTTTAGTAATTGCAGAGAAGAACTGAAAGACTTAAAAAGAACGAAATACAAAATGCAAGAAACTAAATATAAGAATGAAATAAAAAATAAGCCATGTAGTTTAGCCAAATTTGGAAAACGTACCTTAAGTGCCGTGCAAAGGAGTGAAAGAAAAAAGATTATCCGAGTACGTTTAAAAAAAAAAATAAACATAAGAAATGATCAGCACATTAATTAGCCAATAAACTTTAAGAATTTAATAATGAGGTGGCCATGGGTAAATTATATAAATTATATAAAATTATCAAGGTTAGCTATATTCATAGAAATATTATTGTAAAAAAAAAAAATATATAATCCATTATTAATCCCACACAAAAAACTCTCTCTAAATTTGTTGGTAATTTTTATAGCGTAAAATTACGTGACTTCAACTAGGATTTAATTAATCTATTCTAGATTATTCTCGATCTTCCACTCCCCATCTCTTCTGGCATTCCCTTTCTTTTGGACTCTTAGTCACTCGCTTTTCATTTATATTCTTTTCATTTAATTCCCTATTCTCCTCCTTAACTCTTTTTGAAAAACTATTATTTAACGACGTAAATTTTAGTATCACGTCATGTGATTCCGCAGTTCTAATAATTTTTTCTTTGAGTCTAACTGACCATTCCTCTTTCTCTAAATATCTACACAAAGATTCCAATTCCTTATTCACATTCATTTCTATCTTCTCCCATCACATTTCTTCTCCACATTCCTTAAAAATCTTCTTCAATTCCTCGATTTTCGACGATGCATACTCTTCTAAGACTTTTTTTCTTGACATAATTAACGGTGGTGAGACATAACGTTTATAAAAAATTTGTTCTACTTTCCTTTCCTACTCTTCCTCTCTTTAATAATTTTCATGACCTCTTCCGTAGTAACGTTGTCTTTTTGTAATTTTTTACTTGTTACTAGCTATATTCATCACTTCGTCTATCGTTACGTTGTCTTTCTTCGATTGTACTCGGTTACAAAATTTCTTTCGTTGGTAGTTCTACATCCTGTGGTTGATCCAAAAATCTATATTTGCTACATTCGTAATCATAAGTACGTAATCATTTTCCTAATAAGAATTTCTCCAATGAACAGAAGTTTAACGTTGAGAGTTAAGTTGTTTGACATTTAAGGTTAACTGTGAAAATCAAATGATTTGGTGTTACTGTCAAACAGTGGAAATAATTTTTCATATTTAGTTAGAATTCAAATGGTGTAAATTTATCTATAAAAGAAATTCTCTTTTTCGAAAGTCCCAAAAAAGAGGTATATTTCCTTTTTAGAAAAATTATAATTATTTATAAAATTCAAAAGATTTACATTTAATGATAAACACTTAACATTTAACGCCAAATGCTTTGTACTTAAAATTCAAACAATATGGTGTTTAATGTCAAACAATATGTACTTCAGATTATTATTGTATTTAGTTACCGAAAAAAGAAAAGTGTCGTTTTTAGAAAAGCTTGAGATTTCCTTATATATATACATATGTACAACCACGCACAAAAAAAAGAATACTTAAAAATTAATCACGAAAAATTTTTTAATGTCGAAAGTTGATCATTGCTCAATTAGCTTTTCACAATAAAAAGAAAAAAATTCTTTTTTTATGTACGTACAATCATGCATATTTACACGTGTTTCAAATAAAAAAAAAACTATATAATCGCAAAATGGACGATTTTAAAAAAAAACAATTTCTTTGGTAATAAATTTATATATTTATAAGCGATTACCAAATGAGTAACAATTCAGTAATCGAAGTTAACGATGATGATAACAAAATCGAAATCGAAGTTGATAAAAATGATGTTGATAAGATATTTACCTTCGATGATGAACGACATAATGGTAAACCTATTACTATGATAGAAATATCACCAAATGAAAAATACCTTATTACTTATAGTAAAGAAGATCATTCAATTGTCGGTTGGAATGTTGAAGATATTGATAAGGTTCAACTTAAATTTGATCAAGCTGTTAAAACTAATGAAGATATTGTCAAAAGTTTGTGTATTTCTGATGATAAGAAACTTGCTCATGTTTATGAGAAAAAAAGACGAGGATATCATACTATAAATCATACTGTTGGTAAGTAATAATTATTTGATTATGTAATTATTAAATTATGGTAATTGATATTTATTTATATTTTTTTTTAGTAATCGATATGAATAATAAAGATAAAGAAATTGCATTAAGTTTCAAAACAGAATCTGAACATACAGAGGATTGTTATTGTACCTTTAACTTAAAAGGTGAATTTATTTTATATAGTAAATTTTACGTTAATAATATTTCTGGAAGTCATAAAATTATTTGGATTTATTCCACACAAACTAAAAATAACAAATGGGAATGTAAGAGATTTTACAGGATACCTTATTATTATGAAATAATTAGTATGTCAAAATATGATAAAGTTTACCTATTTTCAAAGGTTTCAAATGATTACATTTATGAATGGAATATTAATACTGAGAAAAGTGTAAAAATATCTTTTAATAATAAGGATAAGAATAAGGTAATAAATATTATAAAATTTATTTTCAAACCAATCAATGTTAAATTATAATTAAATATATAAATGCTATTTATTTTTTTAGTTTGAAACAAAAAATATCGGAATATTCAGTAATGAAAAGTTGATTTTTCTAAAAATCAATGATAAAATCATCGTTTATCCAATCGAATTGGGAATTCCTATTGCTTCTTTGGATATAAATGATGGTAATTATTTTTAAAAAGTTTTATTTATACTTTAATTATTACTCATATAAATCATTATTTTTATTTTTAGATATTCGACTCCTTAATTTTATGAATCATACTGGTTTATTTCTTTTACCTTCTTTATTCTATTATACCCCAGATAAAGAAATCAATTATTGCTGGAACAATAAATACAAAAATAGATTTAATCAAACTTTATTTAATGAACCAACTGATGAATCAACTGATGAATCAACTCATGATCAACCAAAGTTTGTGTTTGGAATCCTAAATGAACGTGTTTGGAGATCTAAATTTGACGAAAAGATGACAAAGATGAACTTTTCATCCGAAAATTCTGATGAATTAAATAAAGAAAATAATAAAATTGTTGAATGTGATGAATACTTAAATGTTCTTTCATTTAATCTATATAATATGGATACTGTGTCTACATTATTTCAAAAAGCCTCAAATGATTATATAGATTCAATTGAATTAACTGGAAATTTAATTAAATGGGATGTACATGTTGGTGATGGTGACGGTGACGGTGAAATTAAACTAAATAAACTGGAAGTTTTCAAAAAAATTAATACTAAATGGGAATCAATTAACACAAAAATCGTGGATTATCCTTATACTAAAATAATTGCAAGCTCATTACTTAAAAACAATGATATTGTTATATTGACAACATCTGGTATTTTTATTTATACTTTTAGTGAAAAAGACAAATCTATTTTTTTAAACTATTTTTACTTTATGGATCTCAAAAGGTATAGTCCTAATCTTGGAAAATATATGAAATTACTTCAACATTACAAAAGGATATTTTCAAAATATACTTTGCCATTGCCAAATTATGATAGTTTTAGATTAGATGGATGGGTTTCAAATGTAATGAATAATAAGTCAAGTTTTTTGAAATGTGGAGTTGAATTATTAAAATTTGCAATTAAAGAACATAAGTTAGAATTAATTGATGCTATTTATAAAAAATGTATGACTTATTTTAAAGAGGATTTAATGAACAATAAGTCATTTTTAAGCATTATCACTTCCGCAATGCCATTACTAGATGAATATTATCCAGAATATATTCTAAAATATTCATCAGAAACGAATATGGTCATAGATTCTTCTTTTTATAGTATAGAGCATCAAAATAAAAATTTCCATCTTAATTCTTTTTTTCAATCTCCTCAAATAGCTAATTTATCTCGATCTCTTTTATGGACAAAATATCGTTATAAACGTTTTTACGGAGTGAATATTCTTTCATTATTGCCAACTGCAATTGAGCGTTTTATTAAAACTTTAATAATACTTTTAGCTTTACCCCTTAATTTTGCTTTATCAAAATACGATTTTGTTAATAATATTTACACTTCAGATTATTTTTCTTCTATTTATTTCTATACCGAATTAAAAATTTTTAAAATTTTTAAAAAAAATATAACAACAACACCAACAATTACTTTTATGATTCCTTATATTAATTTTGTTAATTATTCAAAAGATTATAATTGGTTTTTAGAATTAATTAGACCACAACCTAGTCCATTTACTGAAACAATAAATAGAAATATTTATAAAACATGGAATGGTGAGGCATTAATTAATTTTAAATGGAATGCTTATGGAAAATATTATTATGCAATGATTTGGATTTTATTTATGGCTTTGCTTGGATGCTTTACTACTGCTGCAACAATTCCTAAGCAATACATTAATGAAGAAATCAGACAACAACTTTTTATTGCTTCGATTATACTTGGATTTATTCATCTGATTTTAGAAATTCGTCAATTTTTTTATAATATTACTAAGTGGTTCTATAATTTTTGGAATATTTTTGGTAAATATAAATGTTTGATTTAATTATTTTACTATAATTTAAGAAAGAAATTAATTATATAATATTTTAATATTGTAGATATAATTGCTTATGTGCTTTCAATTTACACTTCTATTTATTGGCTTCAAACAAATGATAAGAACAATAATAAGTATCTAACTCAATTGCTTTCTTTTTCATGCTTGTTTTTGGATATAAAATTTTTGTTATTTTTTAGAGCATTTGAATATTTTGGTGTATATTTTGCAATAATTATTAGTGTTGGAAAAAAGATTTTTTCTTTTTTATTAGTCTTATTCATTATTATAATAAGTTTTGCACATGCATTTTATATTTTATTATCACCAAAATCTGTATTTTCACTTGAACAATATAATACAAATAATAATGATGATCCAAATAATCCTTGGAATTTAGCTCCTAGTTATAGTCAAATTGATAATAATGGAAATATAAATTCAAATCCACTTATGATTCAAATTCCTGATGAAAATACAAACATGTTTATGGATATTAAAACTTCCCTTTTTGCTATATATTTATTTTTAATAGGTATATTTAAATTTTTCATAATTATGTAAATATACATGATAAATTTTCTAATATTTTTAAGCAATTCTTCTTATCAATAGGTGATTCAAGTGCATTATCCAATTGGACATATACAGAAAATCCATCAATTGCAATATTGATTGTTTTATTTTCCCTTTTAGTTGTTGTATATCTTATGAACTTGTTAATTGGATTACTCAATATAGCAATTGAAGAAGATAATAATAGAGTCTCATATTTGATGCAGAAGGCAGAGGTAAACAATAATATTATTAATCATTCCATTTCTGTAAATTATACTAATATAACTCAACTTTTAGATTTTGGCTGAGATTGAGTTATTTTACCTATTACCAAATCAAAGACGTTGGCATACATGGTTTCCTGAAGTAATGTATGTAATTTTACTTTTAAAAAAAAAACTTTATGATTTTATTAATTATTCGAATTTATTTTTCAAGACATTATTATGCCGATGTTGATAAGGCTCGAGTAGAAATCAAAAGATTGATTAAAGAGGGTGAATGGGATACTAAGGAATTCACAGAGATGCGGAAAATTTTATTCAAAGCACTTCAAGTTGAACATAATCCTGTTGACAATGAGGTAATATTGAAGGAATTAAAATCTCATGAGAAATTATTGAAAGAAAATAATAATGAGGTAATATTGGAGAAATTAAAATCTCATGATGAAAAATTAGATAAGTTAGAGAAATTAGAAAATAAATTAGAAAATTTAGATAAGTTAGAAAAATTAGAAAAGAAATTAGAGAAATTAGAAAAATTATTAGAAGAAAAACATGCGAAATAATTTAAATATTATGTTGTAGTTTTATAATTTGATCACTACTAGAATTATAGATAGTGTATTAAATGGACCCAGTTTGTAATCAATTATAAAGAATTAAATAAATGTATTTTATGCTTCCTCTTTAATCATATAAATTTCCTAAATCATTCGTTTGATTTTTTTTGTTAAAAAAAAAAAGATTGATAATATTGAAAAATTTTCATTATATAATACAGTATTACTTACATAATTAATCTTACTAATGCGAGATATTTAAATATAAATTAATTATATATCATGTTCGTAATTCTGTATTTTTTTTTTTCAAATGATATATACATATTTGAAACTAAAAGTTTCAAGCTTTTTAAAGTAATTAATTAAAAATTTTGTTTATAAGTTTGACATTTTATGCTCTATATTTATTTCATTAAAGTAGACAAATAAATTATAATGTTTCTCTATTTCTTTGAGTCTTATTTACAAGATCTTCGATTTTGTAATTTCATTGAAATTTTTTTTATCATCCATAATATTTTTTAGTCCACTAATCAATCAGTGACATAGATATTAAAGACTCTGAAATTTCTTTATTTCTCAACTGATCTATACTTTATTAAATCCTCAAAAACACAGTATTATGAAGAAAATGTTCACAAACAGAGAACATTTTTGATGAAAAAACAAATTTTTTTTTTATATCTTAAAATTATGTCTAATTTAAATAGAGATATTCTATATTTAATATTCAAACAATTTAAAGATGATAAAGTAATTCTTCATTCATGTCTTTTAGTTAATAAAACTTGATGTGAAATATTATTCCAATTTTATGGAAAAATCCTTGAAAATCTTAAATAAGGAAAATTTATTATTATTAAAAGCAATCATCTCACATTTATCAGACATATCGAGAAATAATACAGGAGAACATAATTTATTGACAGTATAAATTATGGGATTATTGGATTGATCGAAGCTCAAAAGAAATTATCTAGGATTAATTTAGTTAGTAATTTGTACAATGATGAAACATTTCTTAAAATTCTTTTAAATTAATTGATTACACATGCAAATACTATATAATGTTTAAAATTGAAATATAATTCTTATAAAATGGAATTGAATTGTTTATCTTTACTTTTCTTACAAATTTAATAACTCATCAAGTTTCATTGAAAGCATTAACAAGTTTAATTAAAAGTACATTTCTTTCTGAATAAAAAAAAATAGGTCATCATGAAATTGATAATAAGAGTCTTATTCAAGCTATTTATCAAAACTGCCCCAAGAATCTTAAACTAATACTTAATTATAGTAATATCTTAGAATTAAAACCATTGTTAATTAATTGTCAATACTTAAATGAATTGTTTATCGATGCTAGTGGTCATTATTTATTTAGGAAAAGTTATTTGAAATATTAACCAAATCATCACCAACTAGTTTGTTTAAATTTATATAAAATCCTTAAAATTATTTGCATATAGATCCTTTTCATTTTCATGTTTTATATAGTAATGGGACTATAAAGGTACTGTATAATTACAGTACTTTAGAAATAAAATTTATATTTATATGATGAATTTTCTTTCATTTAAGAAGGTTTGTTATTTAATTTTGGTGCACATAATCTTAAAATCAATAATGTCAATTTCTACGATAATATATTTAACAATTGTTTATCCAGTTTAAATAAATAAAAAATTATGATTAATGAGTTGCATGTTTGTCTTACACGTCATGACATTATTAATCAATATTCATACAGATAAATCTTTGTTCGCATTCATCTTTTTCAGATTGTTATCTA